CATTGTTTGCACAAAAGGCATCATTAAGTGTATCTTTGTATGCCCACTTAAATGTATATCTGTAGATACACAGCTACATAGATCCTTATATGCGAGTATAGTACATGTCTGCAGCGTGAGAGGTGTGTGTTTGTGTGATTGGTTATGGTGTTGTTCTGTGTTGGTTCCTCAGCTCTTCAGCAGTTGGTCAAAGCTCAAGGCTGCTGGTGGTCCTGAGAGATTAAAAATGTTTTATGTGATGGGATTTGAGGCGACCACCATGCCCCAGTTCATGCTGTTGGATATACATTTTACTTTATATCCATCAATGTTAGAATGAATAAGCACACACAGAGAAAGTATTATGACCTTTTCACTTTTTTTTTTTTTTTTACATTTTGTTAAAGTAAAAGTAGGTTATTTTGTGTTTTGAAAAAGTGGACGTGTTTGAATATATTCATAAACCAACATGTGTGTCTACACTATGTATTAATCACATCATTGGGACACAAATCTGTTCACACCATAACATGTGGGGAATTACCTTACATTGAGGGAGGGGGGGTGTCAGGTCCTATGTATAGGACTAGAATTAAGACAGGATTCGGGTTTGTGTTGAGGTTGGGCATGTAGAAGCCTTCAATAACTTACATACAAAAAATAAGTAGTTTGCCGTGTGTGTACTTTTGTGAGATACGTTGTAAATAGATACTTAAATAAACACTGCGGTTGTCAGTCTGATCCAGACTATTCACAGGTCATGAAGCTCTCTGCTTTTGTTGCTCTAAACACTCGGTATGAGGTTGCAGACTGAAACTTTCTGAGAAGTAAATAAATAAGCAAGTAATGACAGTGTGTGGGTGTCCTGATTCCCTATAGCTTGTTTTTCTCTGTGAAAGCACCTGTTACAAACACCTTTACTTTTGAGTGCAAGACCGTCTGATTCTTTTCCAGGACAAGGTGATCTTTTTTTTTTTTTTTTTTGTAGTAATAACAGCTCTTTCTTAGAAATCAACAGAAGCATAACTATGTAACTGGTATGAGCATGAGCAAAATTACAAGCCTAAAACCACTGACACTGTTCACTTGTTGTTTACATGTTTAACAATAAATAAAAGCACCTGTCCAGGTTAAATTAACAAACACATGAATAACAAAAACTGCAAATTGTTGTGGCTCACGCATTCACACTGCAACGGTCTGTCAACAGTTCCTCTGGAATGAAAAATCACTTCATGTAGCTACCAAATTTCCTCTGCCCTTCTTAGTTAAATTGAATTGTTTGAAAAAATTATTTATTATCGTCTCTGCTCCCAAAAATGCTTTGAGGTCAATCAAAAAATATAATTATTCTTTTGGATATTGTCACAGGAAAACTCTCTCTTTATCCAGGATTCTGCAGCTGATGAACAGTGTCGTGACATTCAGGTTGTCATGTTATTACAGACGCCAGAAACCTCTTTCTCCAACGTTCCTGCAGAGCACTCTTTTTGACATTGTTGAAGCAAAGGTCAAGATTCCACGCGCTATCAAGCATTCACCCTCGCCACTTGGCTGAGGTCTGGCAAGATTAATTCTTTGTGTCTTGCCGTCTCTCTATGTGCCAGGTTCATCTTTCTTACAATGCAGCCAAGCAAACACTGGAGAAAAGGTGTGTGCCTTGAAGTGTGTGCACGTGTGTTTGTGTGTGTGTTTTTAAAAGACATTGGTGCAACCGTTTTAACAGGGCGACTCTGTTTGAATTAGATGTTCTAAAACCCCGCTTGCTAAATGGATTTCTGAAGTGGCTGTAGTTGGAGGCTTTCAATCGGATGCAACCTTGAGTCCTTTTTTATGTGAGCTCTGTAGGATTTAAGTGCCGGTATAACATGAGCACGACTGAATGCATGCTCCTCATTTTTTGAAATTGAAAAATCTCCAAAGGCTCTCCCCATTGTGCAGGCAATTAATGGAATGCTGGCAGCGAGGTTCAGGTGCTTAAAAGTTGTATTTTTTCTCTCTCTCTCGCTCTCTTTTTAATGACTAATAAAGGATAATCATCATGGAAAAAAACCATCATAATGCTGTAGGCTTACTCTTTATGCACAATGATGTATAATGCATGCTTTGAAATGAAACGGCAGCGGCCTTCGAACCATTCCATCTCCAAACCTTAGTGTATTTGTTTTGCATGCCACAGTGAGGCTTTTGCATAACAATAGTGAGTGTTCCCATTAACAATGCTTGCCTATTAATTTGATCTTTACATTTTTAAAGTTTGTCCATCAGGCTGCCAAACAATGGGTCCCCCAGTCGCTGTTTGGTATAAGTGATTAGAAAGTTGGCTAATTGGCTCTCTGAAGAGTTGTGATGTTTCCTTTTAGCCTTCCAGTTCTTCATCTGTGGGCCTCTATCAGGTTTTAATACTCAAAAACAGATAAATAAACCATTTTATTAATCAGTAAAGCAGAGTTTATTTTCCCTTGGTTTTGGAGAGTATGTCCCAATCATGTTTAGACAAATTGTAGTGGATATGTTGAGAAATTAGACAAAATAAAAATCAAGTGACACTTGACACCAGGGACACTTCATTTTACGTAAATGCTTGTTTATGAAATCAGCACCAGATACTCAGATATCAGTTTGATTTCAGTTTGTGTTCTGTTATATGATAAAATCTGTAAACTTTGCCAGTGCCAAAAATAGCTTTGTCTCAGCTTCCCGGAACTGATGAACTAGTACCAGTAAAAAACTTGAGGTCTTTCATTATAGATGAAGACTGTGTTATAAAAGGCTCAGTACCATTCTCTCTAATGAACTTCAGGAGGGCGGTCATTGCGTGCAACATACTTGCAAATGGATTTTTTCAGAGGAGGCAGCGCTCATTCTGATTGTGTGCTTTTATGTGATAATGTTTAAATGAGCTACAATGACGTGCATATTCCAGTACTTTGTGTTTATTTAAAACCTGTGGCAGTTGCTTGGAACAAAGTAAAGAATTAAGATTTCATAGGAACTAAATGATGTGTCTATATATTCCATATACATTAAGAAGTCACTGATGCCGTTTATCCTTACTGATGAATCCACTGAAGACAGGTTTTGCCACTATGTGGCGTTGAGTGGGCATTCATTTTATTTACACTGGTTGTGTTTTTTCTCAGGCCTCCTGGGCCTCCAGTCCTGCCTGAAACTGGACTGAATACCAAACTGACTTATTCCAGTGTTCAGTTGCACCTTTTCTTGCAATCTTGGAACACTTCCAAAAGCTTTTGTTTTTTCTTGTGCCCTCAATCTCTTTCTCTTTGACTGCGCTTTGACAATGCAGGGAAACATACAAGAGCATCTCGGTAAACACGAGTGATGTGGTTCCAGAGTTTAAAAGCTTCAGATAACACTAGCAGACACAACTTGGGGCTGTTTGTGTGATGGAAAGGAAAACTTGTTTAGAAACTGACAGCACTGCATCTCTGTGTGTGTGTGTGTAAGAGAGAGACAGAAAAACTGTGTGTGTTTATGTTGCTTTTGGCAAGTTATTCATTTGTGCTTTTTTTTTTCTTTTTTCTTGCTCTCTGTGTGGTTATCTTTTGAGTTGGTCGGTTTGGAGCTGATGTCCACCTTCGGGGATGCGCATAGCATGCATTTCTGAGTATTTTCACCTGAGGCTGCACTTGTTAGAGTCTGTGGATAAATGTATATACATTATTTATACAAATTCAGGGCGAGTGAAAGCAGGTTTAACACATTTACAGACAGGAGGCCAGGCACTGCAAGCCAAGCTCCAAGTGAGGATTGCAACGCTGCGCGCCAGGGATCGAGCTGGCCTCTTGCCCGGCTGTGACCTGCATCCTTAATGCTGAACGAGAACACTGCTAACATTATCATCAACACCTCAGCAATCGAATGATCCCTCATATCATTTGCTTCATGTAGAAAAAATGAAAAATAATAGATGTAAAAGGAGTTTGGTTTGTCATCATATTTATACGAGACATTTAAGAAACCTGTTGGCAATCACTGCTGAATTTTGGCTTTCTAAAAAAAAAAAAAAAGTTAAAAGCATGCTGCATATATTGGATTACAGAAACAATGTCAGCAGTTTTTGCTGCCCTCTGATCTTTAGGATCGAGTTTTCAGAGACTTTATATTATTACACTTGGGAAACCTTTTAGCAACTTGTTTATTTCATAGGGGAAAGTTTTACATTTATCCTGAACATGTATGTATTGCATATTAAACAAATGATTAAAAGACATGAATGTACCTGAGAGAGGGAAAGAGGGAAGGCAGGTCCTGTGTTACAGGTAGTTGCAGGTTGGATCATAAAAAAGGAATATGACTATGTGCTGCTGCTGAATCTAATCTGTCATGTCTTGTATAATATGAAATACCAAAAAAAAGAAGAAAATTATGAATTTGTTAGGTAATAATTCCATGTATTTTTTTTTTTACCAAACTGTACCTGTAAAGGTCTTTGGATAATTCATCAACATAATTGCCAAAAATTGCTTTTGATGTGAAATAGTTTTCAGCATTGGGCTTGAAGACCTTAATTCAGGTAATTCATTCGCTCAACAATAATTGAAGGTTTGATTTTAAAACATATACATACACTATTTTGCCATTTCATCAATTCACATTTTAAATGTAAATATTGCAAATATAACAGGCAATTTGATAGAACGAAAATTCAGATGAAAACGGTATGCAGACACTAGAGTCAAAGGTAGTAAAGGTTAATGCCAGGCTTTATCTTTCTGAAACACTGATCCAAGAGGAAAAAATCCTAATGAATCGTGAAGGAAATTTAAAAACAAGGTAACAATAAACCAAGACCCTATATTTAAAGACATTTCAGTGTCATTCAACTAGTTACAAGGGCTTTTCAAAAGGTATTCCTCGAATTTATAAGGACACGTTATTACAGATACTGTATTCTGTAATTAAACTGAGGTCTTTTCCAACATCTACCAGTGTAAATAAGTACTGTTTTTCCTAATTTGACTTGATACCCTACTTACTCATCCCCTTATCCCATCCAGGAGCCTCGTCCCCCAGAGGTGGATGCCTTGCCGGCTGCTTGTAGTCTTCATGTTCCCATGGAGCTGGAGTTTACAGCTTCCTGCTTCCCTCGCAGCCCTGCGCCTCAGAAAAGCTATGGCCTCGTCTACGTTGACTGACCTGGCTGGTGACGGTGATTGTAGTTTTGATATTGTGATTCATTTTTAAATCAGAGTTGGTAAAATCTTGTATTATAGCTCCTTTTTTTCCTCAACTCTTTAATTTTCTGTCACCTATGATGATTGTAGAGATGCAGGAATGTTTGGTACATGTGTGTCCAAATATAGTGCTGCATACTGTTGTAGTGTTTTTAAGTATTTTCAGTGATCCAGGGCTCATTCTGCCTTTAACGCTTATTTTAAGATGCGCTGGATAATAATATATCATAAAGCCTCAAATAAAACTTAAATTCCAAATTTTCACTAAAAGTTTATTGATTTTTGCATTTGGTATAATTGTATGTTTTTCATTGTGTAATCTCTTTCATGGCTTTACTTGCTGTTTGCTTGTGAAAGCGTTTCTGTATATCCAGTTAAAGTGTGCGGTAGTACTGCAGTGTGGTACATGAACTGAGTAATGGGGAGTACTTGTGACCCATTATTGTGAGATACATATCATGTGTCCCTGGTTTGATTCAAGCTGACATTTTTATCAGTGCAGCGTATTTCTTGATTCTGCCTGTGTACACAAGAAGGAATATGTCCACAGACAAAATGCAATTAAACCCCTTTACTTAATATCCACTGTTCCTGAACTCTCCTAGTGTGTCACTTTGCAGAGTTGACATGTCAACTATCAAATAAAGGCCAGAATGGCCTAAAAAAGGAGAAAAAGAGTCATAGTTTTCAAGGTATCATTTGTTGTTTCTGCTCATGAGGTTTGTACAGTAGACAACATATCTACACAGATTAAAAACAAAAGCACAATGAATTTATAATCCGGATCTGATGCTGGTCACAAGACAAAACGTCTTTAAAGAACAATGTCCCAAAGACAATACAATTTCAGAACTGGAGTACCTATTATGTAAATGTTCTTTACACAACATATATTAAGGAACAAAAAGATTCTCTATAGAATCAAACATTTCAAAATTTGCATATCGCGTCAAGTCACGCCAATTGTATTTGTATAGCCTAATATCACAGATAGCAGATTTACCCGAGGGGCTTTGTGATCTGGGGATTTTCTCATTCCTACTAGTTTTACTGTAATGTTATTCAAGATATGTTGGAGTTCTCCCACAAAAAAACACATGTAATGGAACTGGACTGTTAGTGTGCGCAGGAAGCGAGAATCTGGTGTTATAAGCATAATAATTATTTATTGAAATATGAAGAAAAATTCCGTTAGCCTCAGAGAGAGACCCCCCCCCCCCC